AAAACAACAGCCAACAAAACAACAGCAAAATAAAAAATGAACAGCAGTTATGATTCGAGAGCAGCCACAGCGGTGGACTCCTCGCAGATACTGGTGGAGGTGCAGCTGAAGCTCATTTACTACCTCGAGACGGTGCTCTCCTTTGTACGGGCGCGCACCGCCGCCGCACTGTCCGACCTGGGCAAGACCTTCCACGTCTACCTCGCCGACTCGGCCCTCTACAACGCCGTCTTCAAGTGGAAAACCTGTAAGCCTTCTTTTCCCAAGCAACATACCCAAAAATCGCTAAACAAACACCGCTCTAACAACTCCCTTCTATTGTTCCATTTTCCAATAGACTTCCTCAACAACACCGTCCGCCGGCGGCGTCTGCTGGAGTGGCTGCACGACAAACTCCGGCCCCCTTTCACGCCCACCAACTTCACCACAGACTGGGCGGACGGCGTTCGCCTGTGCGCCCTCTGCGAGGTCATCTCCCCGGGCGCCTGTCCCCGCTATGACCTGCTAAGTCCGGCCAATGCACAGAGCAACATCAAACTGGCGCTCGGCCTGGTGCAGGCCTATCTCAATGTGAAACCGGTCAGTTTTTTAAAGTCCTTGAACTTTTGGTTAAAGCTTTATTTAATTTTTGCCATTTTGCAGAGCATCACCGTCCGGGAGATCTANCGCTTAAACTTTATTTAATTTTTGCCATTTTGCAGAGCATCACCGTCCGGGAGATCTACGAGTGCTCCAGCGAGGCGAATCTGGTGCACCTGCTTTCGCAGATCAAGATCTCCTACGCGAAGAAGGTCATCAAGTCGACGGGCGCCTCGTGGCTGAAGCTGCCGAACGGCTCTGTTGCCCCTGGTCACCTTCCGCCACCCTTTGCCGCCGCCGCCCCCTTCTCCGAGTTCTACTTCAGCCGGTGCTTCGTCAAGGGCATGGGNAGAACGGCTCTGTTGCCCCTGGTCACCTTCCGCCACCCTTTGCCGCCCCCTTCTCCGAGTTCTACTTCAGCCGGTGCTTCGTCAAGGGCATGGGCCTGGTGTCGGGAGTTCGAAGTCGCCGCTCCCGCTTCAGCCTCTACTACTACGAACCGCTGCCGAAGATCAGCCTCATCTTTGAGATTGTCGGCCCCAGTGGGTCCTTCTGCTCGGAGAAGGTGGTGGCGGAGTTTGAGCCGGGCATGGGAAACTCCCAAAGTGGTGAGGATGATGAGCTGTCGCTGAGCTACGATGGAGCGGATGAACTTCACCGGGAGATGAAACAGCTGGAGCAGATGGAGCAGCGAAGTGAGGAGGAGTACCGGCAGGCGGTGGTCACGCGGGCGGCCATGCAAAAGCGGGCCATTGCGGGCGTCAACACGAGGATTCCCTTCTTCTACAAGGTCTACCCGGACCACATTCTGATCACCTATATTCCCCTCTTTACTGGTAAAAATGTGTTTTAATTTTTATTTTTGCCTATTGTCTAAATCATTTCATTCACAGGCGACCACATCATCAGCATCATCTGGCAGGGCCAGCACGTCCTCAACTCGCCCTACACCGTCTCCATCGAGGAGAGCGAGTACCTGGAGGGCGAGGTGCGAGACATCAAGCCCGCCTTTGAGCTCGGCCAGCAGTACCCGCTGTGTCTGCTGCCGGAGCAGGCCCACCGCTCCCTGGACGAGATGGGCACTGTAGTGAGAAAGAAGGTGCTCAAGAGGAGCATCATTGCCGGAGGAAAGGAGTACGACTACGATGACTACTTTGAGAAGAGTAAGTGCTACTGCATATTTTGATAATAAGAATTTTGTTTAACTTTTAAAATAACTTCTACCCTAGACTACAGTCCGCACTTTCTCAAGTATCCCAGCGACTCGAGGATACTTGATCCGAAGATCACGGACGACTCATTTTCCTCAACATCCTTTGCGGCTGATGAGACGGACGCGGCAGCCCTATCAAAGCTGATCAACAGATCAAATGTTGCAGCAGCAGCCGCTGCCGCCTTCTCATCTTCTTCACTCTCATCAGCATCTCACCCGCAGTCTTATGCTGATCAATCCGACCAGGTTAACGCGTCCTCTCGCAATCGAAAGGACTCGGTTGACTCGGGAATATCGCAGGAGACGGTTGGTGGAAGCAGCAGGCAAAGTCAGCAGCAGCAGCCTGAGACTGTGGTTAAACAGCAGCAGCAGGAACATCCAAAATCAACCAAAGAGAAGAGGACGGTGACCAAAACTACCACAAAGATCTCCTTCTCCGAGTCCAAAGTGAGAATCACCGAAAAGGTGAGACGAAGGTCGTCGGCACAGGCCGAAGAAGGTACAGCAGTTGCACCCTCTTCCATCAAAACCGTACCGGAGATCAAGGTGACCAGTCCCAGAGGAGAGGAGGTAGTGGAAGATCAGTTGCTCACAGCACCACCGACGTCGCCGTCAGACGTTCGGACGCCCTCGCTCAAGGAGATGATGTCGGAGAATGGTAAGCAGTTCCAGGAGCACATGGACAAGATGCGCAAGAAGCTAGAGGACGACCTGCACCGCTACAAGTCACAGCTCGAGTCGAGCCTGTAGAGCCACTACTCTTTCCTATTGAAATGATGATACTCGTTTACCCCTTTTTACTTACATCAAACAATAAACTGCAAACCCTTTTGTACATAGAAAACCAGAACATGATTTTGCTGATTGTTCTTCGAGTGCATTTTCAAATGTTTTCGTACAACGTACGTCATCTGCGACGGGGCGCGCGCCGGTGCAGCGCTGCGTTTTTGTGGCGCTGTTTTTTGTTGTTGGTTGTGAAGATTTCTGTTTCAATCTTCGGCAAAAAGCCGGCGTAAACACTTTTTCTCCCACTTTTTGACCGGCTTCAAGACCGGATTATCTTGTCGCTGTCCAGCCAACCCCTGTCAACCTTCCCTTCGACCTTCTCTCTCGCCGGTGACAACCTTGTCCTCAGCCACCACCACCACCACCCCCAACCATGGACTCAATGGACACCTCCAATCTGGACGACCTGCTGCACCGNCGACGGGGCGCGCGCCGGTGCAGCGCTGCGTTTTTGTGGCGCTGTTTTTTGTTGTTGGTTGTGAAGATTTCTGTTTCAATCTTCGGCAAAAAGCCGGCGTAAACACTTTTTCTCCCACTTTTTGACCGGCTTCAAGACCGGATTATCTTGTCGCTGTCCAGCCAACCCCTGTCAACCTTCCCTTCGACCTTCTCTCTCGCCGGTGACGACACCGCCCACAGGCACTCAGCCACCACCACCACCACCAACCATGGACTCAATGGACACCTCCAATCTGGACGACCTGCTGCACCGGGCGGAGCAGCTGACGGCGAGCATCGACGGCAACCTGGAGATGCCGCGCATTGAGCGCAATCTGAAGCAGCTTCTCGACGCCAGCGACCAGATGTCGGCGAGGACGACCAGCGGCTTCGCCTCCAAGGAGGTGATCGACGTCCGTGCCTCCGTCCTCCTCGGCTCCAAGGGCTTTGACCTGCAGAAGGTGACGCAACAGCTCGACTCGCTCAATGCGATCAAGAAGACGGCGGCCAGCGTGCAGGTGGAGGCCGCCGCCGCCGACTCGGACATCAAGGGCTTCCTCAAGAAGGAGTACGAGGACGCCATCATGAAGAACATCGAGACGGTACGGACGTCGACGATCGAGGCCTCGGACGCCTTCTACCTCAACTTCATTCAGAAGGAGTGGGAGGACCAGAAGACGCGCATTCTCAACGCCCTGGTCGGCCCGGACGAGATCAAGGAGATGTCCTTTGACATTGCCCTGAAGTCGCCCAACAATACCACCACCGCCAGCCAGGCGTCACCAGCGGGCGGAGGACTGGCGCAGCATCAATCAGGCCGCACGAAGCTCTACTTCGACCGGACCTTCATCGACAAGACGGCCATCTCTTCGATGAACGCCTCGGAGATGGCCTTCGCCAAGGAGGTGGTGAAGTACGTCGACCAGGTGGTGAACACCTCCCTCAAGTCGGACATCACCCGCTCCTTTGCCACCGTCGCGCGGAACATCATCGGCGAGAGCTCGGTCATCGACCTCTGGCACATGGTCTCGCTGCTGATCAACAGCAGCATTCCGCAGATCAGCGAGGCGGACCCGCTCAGTCGGCGGAACAGCCTCAAGCTGAACGGCTACTTCATCGGCCAGGCCTGCGCCTACCTCGAGGAGAAGTTCGTCCAGTCGATGCAGGGCATGGTCAACTCGCCCATCGGCCAGGTGGTGAACGCCGACGTGGTCTACTCGCTGGTGCGCGACTACCTGCACATCAAGACGCCCTACTACTCAAATGCGGCGGCAGCTGGGTCTGCTAGCGCTGTCTCGCCCTTGCACCACCACTCACACCAGCCACAGCAGCAGCAGCTGATGCACAGCTCCTCCTTCAGCGGCCTCCAATCGCACAGCGCCTCCTTCTCCTTTGGAGGTCCCTCGCCCTCAAAGTCCATCAACAGCAGCGGCGGCGGCTGCGAGGACGGTGCCGTGGAGGGCATCCCACTGTGGTGCTTTCTCTTCTACTGCCTCCGCGCGGGCTCCATCGACGCGGCCATCAGCGTGGTGCAGAAGATGCAGCAACTGCCCGGCGGCGGCGGCCAGCTGAAGGCCGAGCTGACGAACATTCTGCGGGAGTACAAGCTGAGCAACGACGGCCAGCTCAGTCGGAAGACGGAGGAGACGCTGAAGCTGCACTACCAGCGGACGGTCCGCCTCAGCGGCGACGTCTACAAGAAGTCAGTGTACGCCATCTTTGCCCGCTGCGCCCACGAGGACTTTCACCCGGAGGTCTTCGACAAGGTGGACGACTTTCTGTGGATCAAGCTGAAGAAGGTCTCATTTGCCAGCAGCAGCTCGGAAATCGACGGCGGCCCTAGCAGTAGCATCAGCCACAGCAGCAGCGCCGACGTCAGCCGAAGCAGCAGCAGCCTCTCCACTTCACATCTTCATCATCAACAACAGCAACATCATCAACAACATCAACAACATCAGCAGCAGCAGCACAGCCTCAATCTGCCCGACCAGTTCAGCCTGAGCAAGTTCAAGCGGGAGATTCTGGAGGAGCTGGGCGAGTCGTACTTTGAGGCGGCCGAGCAGCCCTTTCTCTACTTTCGCGCCCTCTTCCTCACGCTGCAGTGGGAGGCGGCGGTGGAGTTTCTCTTTCGCTTTGACGCCTACCGCTGCTACGCGCTGCACATTGCCCTGGCGCTGCACGAGCACCGCCTGCTCATTCCCTCTGCCCACGTGAAGCTGTCCATTCTCAGTCGGGTGGCCAGCGACCCGGTGGAGACTCAGCGGCTCAACCTGGCCAAGCTGATCAGCCTCTACACGAAGAAGTTTGAGGCGACCAACACGGTGGACGTTGTCTACTACTACTACTTTCTACACGACCTGCGCACGCCCTCGGGCGAGTCCCTCTTTGCCGGGTACGTGTCGGCGCTGGTGCGCGAGACAAAGGCCTACGACGCGCTGCTCGGCTACGTGAACGGCGCCGACGGGGTTCGCGTGCCCGGCGCCATTGACAAGTTCAATCAGTTTGACGCGGCGCTCATCATCACCCAGGTGGCCATTGACCTGGAGAATGATGGGCACTTTGAGGAGGCGGTGAAGCTGTACGACCTGGCGGGCAGCCACGGCAAGGTCCTCTCGCTGCTCAATAAGATGCTCTGTCCGCTGGTGGCCCACCACAAGGGCGTCGACACGAAGCGGGAGAAGATTGAGGCCTTTGCCATTCAGATTGCAGAGAGGTAAGGGTGGAAAATGTGGTTTTTGTTTGCATTTTTTGACGTAATATTTCTACTCACTAGGTACTGCAACCAAAAGTGCAAGGCCAGCCGCGAAGTGACCTCCACCTTCTACCTGCTCATTGATCTGATGACCTTCTTTGACCTGTACCACAATCGGCAGTACAATGAGGCGCTCGATGTAAGTGGCGGGAGCTGATTTTTGTTAATTCAATTTTAGCAATTTCTTTTTCTCTGAGCAGACAATCATCAAGCTGAACATCTTTCCCCTGCGCGCGGCGGAGATTGACGGCAAGGTGAACGACTTTGCGCACTACTCGGACGAGGTGCGGCGAAACATTCCCGACCTGCTGCTGGCCACCATGGACATTCTCTGCTCGCAGTACAAGGAGGTCAAGTAAGTGCTCAAGAGAGGAGTTTTTGTGGTGGTTTTAATTGCCTTTTAATTCCCAAATCATTTTAGATCTTCTATTCCGAAGGTGATCAACAAGTTTGGCTTCATCGGCGACGCCTCCAATAAAGAGCAGGTAAGCTTTTTTGGTGGCATTGTTTTGTGGTTACTTTAATTTGTTTTGTTTGCCAGCTATGCTCGGAGCTGCGGGAGAAGGCGCGATCGCTGATTACGTTTGCCGGCATGGTGCCCTACCGAATGCCCGGCGATGCTAATGCTAAGCTCATTCAGCTGGAGTCCTCTATGGCTTAGGAGAGAGGGAGACTATCACCCCCATGATCATCACCATTTTAAAGCTTTGAATACTAATGAACTCGGCCGCTGTGTTATGTAATGAACGTCAATTGTGTTGCCATTGACTCCCCTCCTCCCCTTTTCACTGTGTACATTTTCATGCGGCCATTTTCTGACCAATGTTTGCAAGGCGCGAGTACTTTGGCCGCAGACTCTTGTATAGGATACTACTAGATCGTCCTTTTTATCACTGCTATACTAAATTAAAGACAAGTTGCCGCTCTCAGTCCGTGTCATACCTCTCACTTTTCTTCTTCGCACTGTAGTCATTGAGCTGTCCTCTTTTTGCCCTCTTATCGAGATTCTATTTTTGGGTTTTTGCGGAATGATCACCACCGCCGCCCATTCGTTTATTCGCTTTGGCGGCGCCACTATATCGCACCGGCGGAGAGACCACCACCACCGTTACCACCGGGGTGCATTTGGCGGACCAGTGTGGTAATCAGTGTGCACTGTTGAGTCGCTCTTTCCCGGCAAGTGCTACCGCCATGACCGCCTTTCGCCGTTCAGCAGGGGGCAGCACTGTGGTGAGGGAAATAGGCACCGGTGAAGGCGGCGGTCTTGGTGGTGGCGCCTGGCCCGAAACAGCAACACTGCCAGTGTGCAGCACATTTTCGGCAGAAGCAGCGGCGACGACGGCGGCGGCGGCAGTGTGCTTCTCTCTTTGCTGAAGGCGAAGCAGCACAAGCACTACCAGACAACAAATCCCCAACATCACTCGTGCTCTCCTGCTTTCTATTTCTATTTCACACACTTTCACTCTCACTCTCTCACACTTCCTCGTCGCCGGTCGGCCCTTGTTGGTTGCCACCATTTTACCGCATCAGAGCGACGATCACCACCATCATTACCATAACCTTCATCAGCAAAGGCCAAATTCCCTTTCGCCTCATCCTCCTCTCCTCTTTCTTTTTCATCACCGGCCGGCTCATCATCATCTTCTTCATCTGACTCATCATCCGCTCTAGGATTTCCCAATTCTCCTCACAGAAGGAAATTAGAACCCCAACTCAGACTGCGCAAAGATGTCGGTCGCAGTCAACAGCAGCAACTCGCAAACGCTGCCGCCCCGAGAGGCGTCGCTCTTCAAGAAGATCCTGAAGCACTTCAAGGACAAGCAGTTCAAGAGCGGCCTGAAGGTCTCCAACCAGATTCTCGCCAATCCAAAGTACGCCGAACACGGCGAGACGCTCTCCATGAAGGGCCTCATCCTCAACTCGATGGGCAAGCGGGCGGAGGCCTTCGAGTACGTGAAGCGCGGCCTGAAGAATGACGTCCGCTCGCACGTCTGCTGGCACGTCTTCGGGCTGCTGCAGAAGGCCGACCACAAGTACGAGGAGGCGATCAAGTGCTACCGCAATGCGCTGCGCCTGAAGAAGGACAGCGTGCAGATACTCTCCGACCTCAGCCTGGTGCAGATTCAGACGCGCGACCTGGAGGGCTACCGGGACTCACGGTACCAGCTCTTCCTGCTGCGCCCCGGCGAGCGCTCCACCTGGATCGGCTGCGCCATGGCCTACCACCTGACGGGCGACCACGCCACGGCGGTGAACATTCTGGGCGAGTACCAGAAGACGAACGCCAGCACCGGCGTCCGCAAGAACAGCAACAGCAGCGGCAGCCGGCGGAACAATGAGGCGTACGAGCAGTCGGAGCTGCTGCTCTACAACGTCAGCATTCTGCTGGAGAGTCGCCGCTTCGACGAGGCCCTCTCGCTGCTCATCTCCAACCAGGCGGACATCGTCGACAAGGTCGCCTACTACGAGCTGACCACCGAGATCTACCTGGCGCTGAACAAGTTCGCCGACGCGCAGAAGATCGTCGTGGAGGAGCTGATCAGTCGCAATGCGGAGAACGCCAACTACTGCCGCCTGCTGGAGCGGTCGGTGCGCCTGGCGGCCGCCGGTAAACAACAGGGACAGGTGAACAAGCGCAGCGGTGACGAGGGCAGCGGCGGCGACTTTGGCGACGAGCTGCAGCGCCTGGAGCTCTACGAGAAGCTGGCGGCGCAGTATCCGCGCTCGCAGACCATCGCCCGCCTGCCGCTCAACTTCATCACCGACCTGACGGCCTTCACGCGCAAGATTGACGCCTACCTGCGGCGGGGCTTTCGCAAGGGCCAGCCGGCAATTTTTCGCGACCTGAAGCACCTCTACAACAGCGAACTGGTGGCCAGCCGCTGTCTGGAGAGCTTCACCTGCGAGCTGAGGGCGGGCCAGGCGTCGGTGGAGGCGCTCAACAGCTGTCTGCTGACGGTGGCTGTCAAGACGGCGGCTGATTCTTCTACTCCTTTCAGCCCAAAGACGATCAGCCGCTCGGAGCTGGAGACGCACCTGGCCGCCTCGAGACGGGGCCGCCCGCCGCTGCCGCCAAAGATTGCCGCCATTGAGGCGCTGCTGCTCAACTACGCGGACAACCTCAAGGCGCACGGAAGCTTTGAGGCGCCGGTCGCTGCTGCTGGAAATGACACTGAAAAGGAGGAAGGTGAGGAAGAGGAAGCCATCACCTGCCTCCTCTGGGTTTACTACTTTCTGGCGCAGCACTTTGACGCGCTGAAGGAGTTCAGCCTGGCGCTGCACTTCGCCAACGCCGCCCTCCTCCACACGCCCACGCTGATTGACGTCTTTGTGATCAAGGCGAAGATCTTCAAGCACGCCGGCTTCCCGGAGAAGGCCGCCCGCTACCTGGAGGAGGCCGCCTCGCTGGACACCTCGGACCGCTACCTGAACTGCAAGGCCGCCAAGTACCTCATTCGCATCAACAAGCTGAAGGAGGCGGAGGAGATGTGCGTCAAGTTCACGCGCGAGGGCGTGCCCGCCGTGGAGAACCTCAATGAGATGCAGTGCATGTGGTTCCTCACGGAGATGGCCGCCGCCTACCAGCGGATGGGCATGCTGGGCGAGGCGATGAAGAAGTGCATCGAGGTGGACAACCACTTTGCGGAGATCAACGAGGACCAGTTTGACTTTAACACCTACTGCATGCTAAAGGTGACGCTGCGCGCCTACGTGCAGATGATTCGCCTCGAAGACCACCTCAAGTCGCACCGCTTCTTCCTGACGGCTGCCCGGGCCGCCATTGAGATCTACCTGAGGTAACGCCTTCCTTTTAATTACCTTTATTTGGACATTTACTCACATATTTTTCCCTCTAGACTTCACGACAAGCCGGTCAGCAACAAGGAGGAGGAGGGCGACTCGGCCAACTCGCAGATGTCTGCTTCGGAGCTGCGGAAGATGCGCAACAAGCAGCGCAAGGCGCAGCTGAAGGCGGAGAAGGAGAACGCAGAGAAGGCAGGCGCCAAAAAAGGTGGCGAAAAGCGGGACGCCGAGTCCAAGTCGGAGTTTGCCGAGGTGGTCGACGTGGCGAAGCTAGAGAAGACGGAGACGCCGCTGGACGATGTGATGCGCTTTCTCGCCCCCTACAAGCTCTTTGGCCGCCACCTCCTGGAGGCGCACTTTCTCGCCTTTGAGGTGTACGCCCGCAAGGGAAAGCTGCTGCTGCAGCTGCAGAGTCTGAAACGAGCCTTTCGCCTCATGGAATCGGCGGAGGGAACTGGGGCCCAAGAACAGGGAGGACAGAAGAAGGTGGTGACGCAGAAGCATCAGCAGCACCACCAGCCCAGGCTGTACCGCCAGTGCGCCCTCTTTCTCTCTGCGCTGCTCACCCGGAGAGACTCGGGGACGATGCCCGAGGCGATGCGCCACGTCCTCAACGAGCAGCTCGGTCAGCAGGTCAGCTCTCTGGGCAGTCTTCTCTTTGGTGGTGGTCCTGGTCAGCAGAATAAGACTGGTGCCGGTGGAGATCAGCAGAAGCAGACAGACCTTCTCAGTCAGCTGCCCAGCACGGCGGAGTTCCTTCAGCGGACGCTGCCCCACCGGTCGCCCTCTTTCACAGTCCGCGTGGAGCGCATCAAGGCGGAGCACTACCTTGCCATCGTGGCGGAAGAGGCGGCAGAGAACGCAAACCAGTCAAACTCCACCACCAACACAGCCGCCGCCCCCGTCCCCGTCGTCAAAGCGAAGCAGCTGAAGGCGGCCAGTCAGTTTACCGAGGAGATGATCGGCGAGCTGGTGAAGGACGCCGAGGCCGGCTCGCTGAGCCAGCTGACGCTGGAGGGGGCGCTCGCGCTGTACGGCGCCGTCAAGTCGGCCGCCTACGGTCAGCTGAGCGCGCCCCGACTGGAGGCGCTCCGGCAGACGCTGCACCGCCTCTACCCGCTCGCCTCGCGCTTCATGCTCGAGAAGGAGCTGGCGGAGTTGGAGGTGGAGCTGCGCGACGCCGACTACTTTACCGCAGACACCGAAGAGGGAGGTGGTGGTAGTGGTGGTGGTCAAGGGAAGGAGACTACAGAAAAGGTCCTCAATCCAGTCACCACCAACCACTGTGAGTCGTAGGATGTTGAAGAGGAGAAAGTTGAGGAGAAAGAAGATGTGTGCAGTCAGAAAATACACTAAAGTCTACAAAGTCATCCCCACGCCACACACATCGCTGATGATGATTTTACTATGATGATGATCGCAAATACTTGATACCTGCTATTATTGCCCATTCTTATTCATCTTTAACACACCTTCACAGACGGCTTTTCAGCTGCCGCCGCCGCCCCGCTCACCGGTGCTAATCCGTTGTCTCTCGCGAGTTCTGCCCGTGATAACTCTGGACAGATCAGGACAATCGGAGACTGGCAGTGATGATTACAGCGGCAGTGAAGAGCAGCAAAAACACGCCCACACACACACACCAGTCCTTCTCCTTCTCCTTCTTCTCCTTTTTCTATGCATGATGAATTTATATTCTTTTTATAAATTCGAACATACACACACCTATACCATTAATGAATGAAGGAAAGAATGAACACCTAATGATGAAATAATAAATTCTAGTGAACTACCCGATGCGGTGCGGTGGCCGGAGGCCATGAAATATTTTATCACACTTTGGAGGATTTTCTCTCTCCCTCGTTTTGTAACAGGGAAAAGGTAAGGCTCATTTTCTGCTCCCGCTCCCTCTCTGTCAAGGTTACTCTTTTTGAACAAATTGTTGCGTCATTGCTCCGAAGGTGAGAGAGATTGTCTCTGTTCCTGCTGCCGCTGTTGCTGACACAGTTTTTTCTCTTTCCTTCAGCAGAGTTGTGTCAGCAAAGTTGTGGGCACTGCCGCCGCTGTTGCTGCTGGTCACCTTGAGTGCTCAGAGCTTGTTGTGATTGTAAACTCGGTGTGTGTGTGTTGGAGTGTCTGCGTCTGAAACTTCTGATCGGTGATCGATGGATTTATGGCGGCGGTGGTGGTTCGATTTGGGTTCTGATGAGATTCACCTGAATCTTTCAAAAGTGCAGTTGTTTCAGAGTCGGCAGAATCCTCGCCTAGATGGCGTGTTGAACGGGCGATGAGCGCCGCCGCAAAAAGCTCTGAACTTCTCTGACGCCTGGACACACACTGTGTTTTTCTCGAGCCTCTGTGTGTTTGTGTTCCTCCTCACTGCTGACTTCGAAGCTTTCCCTTCCCTTCTTCTACTTCTTCGCCCACTCACTTTACGACTACCTTCCAGACTCACTCACACACTCACACTCACCGTTTCAGGCACGTCAGACAGCAGCAGCAGTGTTGTACAGCGGTCTTGTGTGCAGCCTGTGACCACCACCACAACCACAGCTTGAGCTGCCGTACACCACAGAACACACATACACACATCATCATCATCATCTGAAAAAAGACATATCGGTTCGTCCTCTTCTCGAATGGTCGAATCAGTTCTCCAGTACACCTGGTGTGGTCGTCATCATTACCTGATTTTCTAGCTCTGAATCAAACCAAGCTGCCTTGGCCGCCGTTGTTGTGGTTTCCTCTTGTCCAATTCTTCTCCCCGCCATCAACAGCTGTGAAAGTGAATGATGTACCCTAGCGGTGACGAGCAATGACGCGTTCTTCTTCTTTTTCTGTGTTGTTGTTGTTGTTTCTTCAGTACAACTTTTGAAGCTGCGTTTGGTTCCAGAAGAGGAGGAGGAGCAAGCCTAGCCAAGCTCTGCTGACCTCGAAGACCACAACTTTGGAGGTGGCCTCAGCTCAACTTGCAATTACCACGGCCCTCGCGAGTAGCTGCTGCTGCCGCTGCAGTTGTTGTTGTATTGGTATCGATTGCCTCTCTTCACGACTTCTGCTGCTGTTGCTGCTGCTCTTGACTTTGCAAGTGTGCTTCGCTCGGCTGCATTCATTCATTTGACTCCCACCGCCACCACCACCACCACCACTACCACTGCACCATTATCATCACCGTCATCATCATCATCATCGTCACCATCATCAACAGTCGCGCACACACAGACAGACTGCATGGAAACTTTCCAAGCGGTGACCGACTGATCGACCAGACAGCTGAGACATTGAGACGATTGAACTGATCACAACAGTGAGTGAACATGGATGAATGAACGAATGAAGCGTAGAGAAGAAAGTTGATCAAGAGTACAGCAGTATCTATCTCATCAAGAAGAGAGTGCCTACCAATTTACCAGCACCAAGTGCAGAGACACACATTTTCCTTCTGCAGCAGCTGCAGCTGTTGTTTGTTGTGCCTCTCCTCTTTCCATCTTCTTCCTCGTATCTCACCACCACCACCACCAACACACAGCAAATCATCAGATTGGATTTTAGATACTTTGTCGGATACCTCTCGGCCGGCGAGGACGAGACCACCAGACGCACGCCGTGTTATCACCCCGCCGCCTGTCCTTTATCAACCACTCACCGACTGCTTTGCAACACCAACTTCGCCGAGCTTTGAGAGTTTGTTGTGAGCATACCATCGCCACCCAAACAAGCATCAAAAGAAGCATCCTGTGTGGCTTTTGTTGTTGTTGTTGTTGTTGCTGCTGCTGCTGCTGCTGCTGTGAATGATCTGCTTCGAGCAGCGAAGAGAAAACATCCTCACCACCACCACCACCACCACCACCTGAATGGAGATGGAGGACAACCAGAATTCAGGTAGGTTTTCTTCAGCTTGAGCTTTACTTTCAGAAAAGTTACAACTGTTTCTTCCCTCGGTTTTTTTCGAGCAGACATCTGCCGCGTCTGCAGGTGTGAGGCCACCCCCGACAAACCGCTCTACCATCCGTGCATCTGCACGGGCAGCATCAAGTACATTCACCAGGAATGGTAAGCAACAACCTTCCTCCCTTTAACTTCAAAGGTCACTAATCTTGTCCCCTCCTTTCATTAGTTTGATGCAGTGGCTCAAGTACAGTGAAAAAGAGTTCTGCGAGCTATGCAACTACCGCTTCTCCTTCATTCCAAGTAAGTGAGCTTGGTCCCTTGAGAGAGTTTAGGTCGTGTTTTTAACCCTTTCCCACGCTTCTTAGTATATTCACCGGACATGCCGAAGCGGTTACCTCTGAAGGACATCTTCAGCGTCATTGCCCGGTGTCTGGGCACGGTGGCCCGGTACTGGGTGCAGTACACCCTGGTGGCCATTGCCTGGCTGGTCGTCATTCCGCTGACTGCTTGTAAGTTTCAGCTTTTTACCGGTGTTTCTTTTGCAATGTCCAAAAAAACTCCTATTTCTCTTTCCCCCCCCCCCACAGACCGAATCTACATGTTCCTCTTCAACTACTCCTTTGACGACGTCCTTAGCTTTACCTTTGAGTTCAACAAGCCGGAGAACCTCTTCTCCGACGGATTCTACGGCTGCTGTGTGGTGATGTGCACCCTCTGCACCTTCATCTTCCTCATCTGGCTCCGGGAGCAGATCATCCGCGTGGGGGCGCCCGACTGGCTGGAGCGGCCGCTCAACTTTCGCCTCCTCCAGGCGCTCTTTAGAGGAGGTGGAGGAGGCGCCGGAGGCGATCAACAGGGGAATAATATTCCTCCTCTGGGCGCGAATAATCAGCTGAATAATAATAATAATAATAACAACAACAACAACAACGATAATAACGGTGACAACAACAACGGCGACAGGGCAGTGATTGAGCAGCAGCCTGGAGCTGCGGCTGTTGCTGCTGCTGCTGCTGTGCCTGCAAATCCGCCAGAAGGCCAAAATCTTCCCCTCGACTGGCGAGAGAATGATGATCTTGACGATGAGAATGGTAATTCATCTTTGACTTGTTTTGTAAGCCTGTGCATTAAATTTCATCGTCTTTTTCTTCAGACGCAGACGATGAGGCGGACAATGAGGAGNCAGTGATTGAGCAGCAGCCTGGAGCTGCGGCTGTTGCTGCTGCTGCTGCTGTGCCTGCAAATCCGCCAGAAGGCCAAAATCTTCCCCTCGACTGGCGAGAGAATGATGATCTTGACGATGAGAATGGTAATTCATCTTTGACTTGTTTTGTAAGCCTGTGCATTAAATTTCATCGTCTTTTTCTTCAGACGCAGACGATGAGGCGGACAATGAGGAGCTGCTGGGGGCGGAAGACGCCGTGGATGGCGGCGACCAGGACAATGCTGCAGCGGCGGTTGTGCCGGCTGCTGGTGCTGCTGCTGCTGGCGATGCTGCTGGAGCAGCAAGAGCAGCAGGTGGCAACAATCGAGCCCAGGTGGCAGTCGCCCAGGACTGGAACCCGGTCATTGAGTGGGATCGAGGCGCAGAAGATATTACCTGGGAGAGGGTAAATCCAGTTTTTAGTGGTTTTATCTTCTGTACTTAAACTTTTCTATCTCTTTAGATTCTCGGCTTGGACGGCACCTTTGCCTTCCTGGAGAACGTCTTCTGGGTGATCACGCTGAACACGCTCTTCATCTTCATCTTCGCCTACTGCCCCTACCACATCGGCAATCTGGCCTTTCGGAAGCTGCTCAATGGAACCACGACAGCAGCCACAGCAACTGCTGCAGTGACTGTGACAGCGGAAAATGCAACAGCAGCATCAGTAGCAACAGAAACAGAAACAGCAGCCGTCGTCGCCGGAAACAGCAGTGAACAGGTTGTTGCTGCTGCAGTTGCAGCGGCGGCGGCGGAAGCGGTCACCACGGCTTCAGTCACCGCCACCGCCCACCTTGTGAGCGCCCAGTTTGACCGTTTCGTCATCATCTTCCTCGGCTACTTCATCATCGGCTTCCTCCTCTTTGCCCTGCACACTGCCTTCAGCCTGACGCATCTGCAGCGCATCCAGCGCTTCTTTGGCTTCTGCTACATCATCGTCAAGGTGGCCCTGCTGGTCACCCTCGAGATTGGCCTCTTCCCCTTCGTCATCGGCTGGTGGCTGGACATCTGCTCACTGCCGCTCTTTGGCACCACCCTCGACCGCCGCCTGGACGCCTTCTTCGCCTCGCCGGGCACCTCGCTCTTCATCCACTGGCTGGTGGGCATGATCTGCATCTTCTATTTTGTCTCCTTTGTGCTGATGGTCAAAGAGACCGTTCGCCCGGGCATCCTCTGGTTCATTCGAAACCTGAACGACCCCAACTTCAACCCGGTCAATGAGATGATCCACCTGCCGATACTGGTCCACTGCCAGCGGTGCGTCCTCAGCATGGTCNGTCTTCTGCGCCATTGTCATGCTGGTGGTGCTCTTTCCCATTCTCGCCATTCAGAAGTGTCTGCCCGACTTTCTCCCCTACAACAATGTCGCCAATAAGTGAGTGGGAGTGGTGGTGGTGGAGAAGGTCCAAAGGACTTTATTAATTTTTACCTTTTTCACAGCGAATCGCCATTCGAGCTTATCCTGGAGCTGTTCGTCTTTCGCATTCTCCTGCCGAACATCATCGAGGCGAATGACTTTACCTTTCGCCAGCTGATCAAGTCGGTCATCAAAATTGTAAGTTTTTTGGGAGG